ACACCGGGGAGAGGGCAAGCGTCCTGAAACACGAGGGCAAAGAGGTTTCAAAATAAAAGCCACGAGACAACACAAATACAAGACAAAAAACTAAATAAAACCTAACACCTGGTACGAGACATGACATTTAACACATCTTAGCCAATAATTATGGAGGGTGCTGTGTTTTTATATAAAGTAAAGCAGCTCCATGAATTCACTTGCAGCAGCTACAACAGCAACATGCTGTTGATACACTGAGGCTTTACATTTAATTAGTAATCTAATGTTAAATAAAATAATGTATCAGTCAAAGGGATCAAATAGATGCTTTTACTTTAATATCTCAAGTACATTTTGTTGCTTTTACTATCACTGAAGTATGGTTTTTCCTGCCGTATTTGTACTTGTAATGGAGTATTTGTACGTTGCTGTGTTGGTACTTTTACTGATCTGAATACTTCCACCACAGATGAGTCTCATCTACCCATACAACTGTGCATATGACTCTCCCTATAAAGTGAACGAGCTGCTTCTTCAATGCTGCCATTTTTCTGTATCTCACACCTCCTCCATCATCTCCTCCTCCCAGGCTTCCTGATCTACTTCGGTTACGGCATGTGGCACAGCGAGGAGCGTCTGCGCCAACTCCCGGCCGCTCCCAGCAGCAACCACGACAACGTGAAGGCCGGAATAGACGCAGACGGGAAGGACCAGGAGCGCTTCATCTGCCCGGAGAAGACCAGCCAGTGTTAAAGTTCGCCAGACTCTGTGAGGCGACAGATGCATAAAAGCAGGCGGCAGCTCTGCCTTGATGCACCTGTACATACAGCTTCACCACGCGTGCGCACTCAGTCCTGCAAAAGGCAGCATCAGTATTCTGTATGAGCGGCCACACGACGAGGAGCCGCTCTGTCACTGTGATGGGACCAAATCCTGCAGGTCTCACTGTGCTTTATGGACAGCATGAAAGCAGAATGGAAGGGACAGGTAACACACTGGAGAGTGATGTTCATTTCCTTTAACAGCCAAGCAGTCGATGCGAGGCTGCAGCAAAGCTTTTCTCTTTTTCTTTATGGACTTTGTTTTGTAGTGCATGACACACATTTTTTTGTCTCATCAGTTCATTTCAAGCAGGTTTGTACAGTTTTTAAATCTAGATTTTGACACAGGGATGTTTAGGATAACGGTGCTGAAGAAGGAAAGATGTGTCGTCTGTCGGGTAGATTTTTAGAGCTTGTCGGTTTCATATGCACACATGTGAAATGTTAGACCTTTAGAGCAGCGTATAATCTGTCAGATAGTCCTGTAGGCACTTAACATGTCATGACTCGACTGTGCTGAAAGTAGGCCAAGTGCTGGTGGAAACTCTCCGCCTGGTGTAGCTGTTATGTAAGAAAACCTTTAAATCTTCACGGTAGTCACTGAGGCCTCTGTAGCTCTTGTTGTGATCCTATTTAGCACAGGTTTCTAGTTATGCTTGACTTTCTTTTGAATATGTTACAGCCTCAATATGAAGATTATTTGATGCAGAACTCGACCGAAAAAGTATTTGTGGTTTGTTTTTCACTTTATCAAACTATAAATTGCTATATTTTCCTGTTTGTCTGATTTATTTTTTTTTTGCTATATCGATACACTTGCAGACATGTTTTAAGTATAAACTTATTCTCACTTGACCAGTGCCACCTGACAAGAAGCACAATAATTACTTATAAGTTAAAGTATTATATGAAGCAGGACTGTCTCATAGCTGGTTCGCAGAGATTCGTAGTGTTCTTTCCTTCAGGGTTTTAGGGGCCACTGATGTTTTCCATAATGATCTTTAGCTTATAGTAGAAACTCATTCGGTGTCTGAACTCTCACCTCCACTGTCAGTGTTTTACACCACGTAATGTGAAGAAATCCTACATTTTTGAAGAGGATGTTGGTAACCTCAGGCTGATAGACGTGTTCATGAATGTGGAACAAATTCAGAAGCTAGTTTCAGCAGGAGAAAGGAAGATATTCTGCTACAGTGAACCTCTGCATTGACAGTGTGGAGTCTTCCAGTGAGGTTACAGGACGATGCTGTAGAAGGAACCATGTTGTCATGTCACTTGTTACCAACTGCACAAACAAATACAATAAAATAAAATGTATTTTCCAGTAATGGAGATGTTTCTTTTTTTCCCTGTAAGGTTTCTGGTTTCTCTCATAGTTGTAATGTCAGAAAACTACTGAACAGATTTCAGGTTTAGTGGAAAAGTTGACCATGAACAGAGGACAAACTCACTGGATTTCTAATGTTGATGTCGCCACCATGTGGCCACTGAGAAAGAACTTTATATATCCTCTCATAACTAAACAGTGAAGTGAACTCTGTCGAGTTTTTGTTTTTCTTTAATTGTGCTTTAATCTACAACCAGTCAAATATCTTTGTAGATCGAGCTTGTTAAAAATTTTAGTTTATAATCTACTGTATCTATATGTATAATATTGGAATGTTTTTACTCCCTAAAAATTGGTGTTGGTCCCACAAATGTCTCAATGTTTGATGTACCTAAAGTTCATATGTGCAGGTCTGACTTTATATAATTTGTTCAGGAGTTGTGGATATTTTCAGGCAAGTTAGCAACTAACTGGGAACAGCCTTTGACTTTACACCTCCATCTGCTCAGCTGTGAAACACACTCTGCTACATGTGGTGAGAGTATCATGAACAAAACCGTCTACAAGACAAACTGTAATATCACCGTTTCCAAATTACCTCAAGCCTCATTTAATGCACCTTGTTCTGTAAAAACAATAGACATAAAAATGTATACATCTGTTATCAACCAGTATCTGCCAACCAATATATTGGTTTTCAAGTTTAACTAGTGGGCTACAAGGTGTATCGGTGGTTAGCGCCGTCACCTTGCAGCAAGAAGGTCGCCGGTTCTTGTCCCGGTGTGGACACCCAGGATCTTTCTGCGTGGAGTTTGCATGTTCTCCTCGTGCAGCGTGAGTTCTCTCCAGGTTCTCCAGCTTCCACAGTCCAAAAACATGTTGAGGTTAATTGGTGATTCTAAATTGTCCGCAGGTGTGAATGTGAGTGTGCTTGGTTGTCTGTCTCTAAGTGTAGCCCTGTGATAGACTGGTGACCTGTCCAGGGTGTCCCCTGCCTTCACCCTGAGTCAGCTGGGATAGGCTCCAGCCCCCCACGACCCTAGTGAGGATTAAGCGGTGTATAGATAATGGATGGATGAAGCTTAAATAGCCATAATAACTCTGTGGTCATGATTCCTACTTACTTTAGTTTCTGGGGAAAAAAATTAGACATGAAAACTAATTTTAATGCTCTAAATTGCAATAAAGACATTTATGATGACATTTAAGTGATCCGTGGTTATGAAAAGTAAATTTCTAAAGTCTTGTGTTTTCCTACATCAAAACTGAAAACTATAAAGCTGCCAGTTGTCATACATCAAATAATATCTCTGAACTGAACTGCAAAAAGCAGGAAACTGCTACTTGTTACACTGGCAGCACACTATTTAGTGATGTGACAGCAAGTATTTCAACCCTTTACTTAACTAAAGGTATTAATACCACACCATGGAGTACTTCACTCCAGTAGAAGTCTTCCATTCAAAACCTTAAGTAAAAGTATTATCGGTAAAAATGGTGAGTGTAGAGTTAAATACTTTACTGGTATATATAATGTTTCTGGACTAATACTACAGCTGCAATTCATATGTATGTTGCATTTTACTGCTGTTGAGAATCACAAACTCTAAAAGTCAACTTTTCATGATCTTATTTTCATTTACATGCATTTTCCAGTTAATCCAAGACTTACTGAAGAGTTGATTTAGCTTAAGACGGTAAAGAAACACTGAGTCCCTGAGTTTATCACAAACATTCAAAGTCACCACGTTTGGAGATTCTGTTTTCATTGGACTGGAAGATTATGAGAAATTGTAAAGTCAGTATTGTAGAATAAAGTTGCATAAAATGGAAATGAAGTTTACAAGTACAGTACTTGAGTAATTGTTTTCCACTCCTGGTCACAGCTCCATTTTCTAAATCACTAAAGCTGTCGTTTAATAACAATTTACCCTTTAATTCTTAAAACAGCACTCACATGTTGATTTGCACATTTAAAGGGTTACTGTTGAGGAGGCACATTCTTTAAAATAAGTCTAATTCACCCTCAGATCCAGCAGAGGGCTTCAGACTACACGTTTCTGCTCCTCAGCTCTGAGGAGAGGGAGTAAACACAGGAGCTCAGAGCTTATTTTCCTTCTTCCCTTCAGTCTGTGACGAGGATGGAGCTGCAAATCTAAACAGGGCAGCTGGAGCCTGCAGAGTTCCAGCGAAGCTCCAAGCCTGACCTCCTTTTCTTGAGCTCCTCACCAAGTGTCCCCGATCTCCTGCAGAGTCCTCACACCTCCGACCATGAAGCTGTGGGTTGTGCTTTGCGTGGCATTGCTCTGGGTAGAGCTCCAAAACGGTGAGTGAAGTTTCCACATCTGTCTCGTAACTTTGTGAGCGAAGCAGAATTACTGTTAATGTCATCATTCAACTCGGGCTGCAACCTGGAAGTAGATGCAGGATTAGATAATGTGTACAAATGCTGTCTGGGGTCATCTGCTGGGCGTAGAGTGGGAGGTGCATCTCATTCACAAACTGCACGGACAAACATTATCTAAATATAATGTCATCCCCCCCTCAAGGAAACGCAGCCACCGATTTGATATAGTTGCATTTCGTGTGTGTAAAAATGTAAAAGCGTGCGTAAGAGTTGAAGTTGTGTAACTTTTTCCAAAGCTGTTCGGCAGACCAACTCAAAGCAGCTGGCTGGGAGGCATGCAACAGGCGTTTCTAATTATCTGCCCTTTTACTGCTGACCTTTCCTCTGAGTTCTCATTAATGCTGCACCGAAGAATAAAACAACAAATCCTGAAAGTTTGCAAAAGAGAAAAACTTTGTGTGCCCACCGAGAAAGAGAAAGGGAACATTTTGTGCCAGGATTTTAGAGTTCCTGTCCAAGTGTTGTCACAGCTGGAGGAAATAGCAGCAAACTGAACACGAGTCAGGAATGAGGCCTGCCGCTGCCGGACTTATCCTCATGATTTAGTTTTCTGTGTTTCTGTGTGTGTGCCAGGTGACTGCCAGCAGGTCAAGCGAAGAAAAGATGTGGGAGAGAACCGCATCAGGCCGGGGGGGAAACGGGTGAAGATTCGCCACCCGAAGCTAAAAGACGGCGGAGGCAAAGGCCAGTCCCTGCTGACCCAGGTGCTGGATAAAGGCCGCTTCCTGCGCCTGGGCCCGACCACCACGCTGACTCCTGGGAGGAACATGGAGCTGCGCTGCAAAGGCAACAGCATCGGATGGTCCTACCCGACCTACCTGGACACCTTCAACGACTCTCGCCTCAGGTGCTTGCAGGGGAACGTCAGCTGTGTCGTGCACTGAGCTGCTGAGCGTGACTTTCTCATGTTTTGTTTTGTCGCCTGCAGCATCAAGCAAAGCGACAAGTACAGCCAGCTGATCCTGACGTCGCCCTCTGCTGCGGATACCGGAGCCTACAGCTGCTGGGTCATCGTCTGCGACGGCACCGAGTGTGAGAAGGACCACGATCGCACTTATGTCTCCTACATCTACTTCACAGGTGATTCTTACAGAGCACATTTTGCAGCTTTTAATGGATTTTTTCATTTGAACGCCTCCTATTTTGAATTCTCTCTGAGCAGTTAATGCTCTAATAAGAAACTTAACATGTACGTCAGACTTTCTAAAAGGTTGAGTTGTAATTTTATTTTTCATGTTTCCAGTTGAATACAGTGTGAGCATCATTAATGAATGTCTCTCCTATTAATTGATAAAAGATAAGATAAGCCAGTTCAATGCAATTACATTTTTGGTTGTGAGTCCGTTTAAAGCTGTCATAATCATTTTCATTAGCTCATATAACTAAATGACTAACTCCACTCTGCAGAGCATTTTTGCCTCATTTGATTCTGTCTTCCAGGCAGCTGCTGTGGTTCAGTCTCACTACATTCATCAGCGTTGACAGCTGTTTCAGCTCTGACACACTCATTGTATGTTCCCTGCTTAGTGCTGAACAGCAGACATGCACAGTTAGAGACTAACTGGAGAACTTGGTAAGAGCCACATATTCCAAAACAGAGCTTAAAGAGCCCATTTTGTGCACAGTTACATGCTCAGAATTTTATTATTGGGGTCAAAAGAACTTGCTTTTTTCATAACTTTTTCTTCATTCTGTACATTGCTGCAGCCCCTGCATGTCTGAAATGCTCTAATTCAGCTCTTCTCTCTTTAAGATTTGCTCCCAAACAGTCAGAAAGTGAGTCAGTGTTGGTTGAAGTCTCAGCGCTAAACCCTCACACGCTTAACTGATGTCACAGCTGTAGTTATTCACTGTGTGACTTTGTGAGCGCTGAAATGTAATAAAAAAGGAGGAACAGGACACATTATCACGACAGCACTTGTTGCTTAGGAAACAATACATCACCAGGAAAACAAAACGTGTTTTTGGACTCGTGTTTGAGTCCCAGTTTGATCAGCTGCTCACTTCATTTCTCCCTGTTTGTGACATTACAGTGTTTGTACGTTTAGGAAACTTGCAAAGTCAGGAAAGCCACGAACATCTGTAAATCCTTCAAACAGCTTGTTATAAATAAGGACAGCAGCAGGCTGCAGCCAGATGCTGTAGCTGACAGATAAGCTTCATAGGAACTTGTTTTCTCTACATTTTATGGGAAGCAGGAGAACCATGTTTATGTGGCACCAATTTCACCGTGAACTCTGGGCAAGTTCCTCTGGAAAGTCTGCAGGCATATGACACAGAAAAGATGCATAATAACATCAAAAGGTCCGTATCAGAGCCCTCATGCACTTGATGGTTTGACAGTGAGACAGAACTAAAAAAAAAATCCCACACTTTGTGGGAATGTGGGTCAAAGTCTGGGAGACACAGAAACGTATTGCTAGCAGAAGTGGCTCAAGTGAGGAGATGAAGAGTTCATTTGCAACAACAGAGAACTCAATCTTCACAAACCTTTAGAAAACTGACTTTTCCATCGTCTACCTGAGACAATATCAATCCAACTTAAGTTATCTCTGTTTTTATCATGTCATTTCTGCTGAGTCAAATCCACTCAA